CACACACACACACACACACACACACACACACACACACACACACACACACACACACACATACAGACGTACGGACATCATCGTAAAAATAGGGAAGCTTCCTGTGACCTTCAAACGTCGAGATCTGATGAGAACTCGATTTTTGTAAAACGGGGTGAAAAAAATAACTTCCCGATTTTTGAAAATCTGAGATTTTTAGCGGGAAGTTAAAAATCATTTAAAAAAAATTTTTAAAACACGTGCCCTCAGTCATTAAGCTAATAAAAATGAGTTCTTTCAGCTTAATTATCGATAAGAATTATATTTTATTTAAGCTTATTCTAATTTCGCGGAAAAATGTTTTTTTCAATTCTTTGGGAGTATCTCCATTACATGGATATTTTGTCCACGAATAATGAAAATTATTTTTAAAGGCAGCTGAAACTTTGTTCAATTTTTTTTAAAACGGTTAAAAAAAAAGAGGATTTACTATATTGGGTCTCCAAAAATTAAGCATTTCTTTAAATAACTTGTTTTGCCCCCATCTCTGGTTTACATGCATGCATTTTTCAACCAATGTTTTTTTCGAATGTTTTTTAACTACTTAACAGATGAAATGATGAAATTATACGTGAATTCTGATATCTGATGAGGGCCGATACAATAGATATATTTAAATAAATATCTATTTCTGATAAATATATAATATATTTGAGCGATTTAATTGCGTAAAATAAATAGTTTATTTATGGTAAAGATATGGTTTATTTGTGGTAAATAAATCATAGTTGATAAAAATAATGAACTTTTAAAATTTATTTTATTAATTTTCAGAAATTATAATAATGTTAAGTACCCAGAAGTTGAACAGGTTACAAAGTAAAACGTATTTGACCCTACTTTTAATATATAAAGATGTAATTATTAGTTCAAATTAGTGATTTTCATGAAAATATAAACAATTTTTAATTGATTGAAGCGCAAAATAACGCAGACAATTCAATATTTATATTTCGACAACGTTTTTAAGATAGACTATCAAAGGAGTAGTAGTTGAACAATCATTTCTGACAAGCCGCAGTAGTTTAACACTCCGGGAGCAGTAGTTGATCTAATAAAATATATGGCAATAGGCACACCAAAAATTTTTAACTTCTTATTGAAATACCAAAAAAATTATAACATATTATTGATTAATATTAAAAATAATACTAGGAATATTTAATAAGTTCATTAAAAAATGAGAAATATTTGTATTTAATTTTTTAATTACATTTTTTATGAATGACAAAGCAAACAATGCTGATCACTAGTCTATAAACCTAT